ACCCGCCACGACTGCCCACCCTCTGCGACCCGTCCCGACCCTAGGCTGCCAGCCCCGGACGCTCTCCCTGCTGCTGACCCCCGGCCCGGCCCTTCTCTGCACCTGTCCCTCCGCGTGCACTCACACCCCTCGGCCCGACCCCAAGCACTGAAGGCGCAGGTTGCTCCGCGGCTCGGGATGGCCAGCCCTGTGCGGCCGGGCCGAGATCCCTGGGGACACGCCTGCCGCTCGGCACCCCGCTGTCTGCCTCTGCGTCTGTGCAGGGCCCGCTCCGTGCTGCACACGCTGCCTCCGCAGCCTTCCCCAGAACTTCAGGGAGGAGCCACGGAAACCGCAGGCTGAGCCACCCACCTAGAGCTGAAATGAATGTGTCTGTGGCGCCACAGGCAGGTGGGTGTTCTGTTTACACACTCCTGCTGACAGAGGGCTCACTACCTTATTTTCCTGGAAAGCACTCATTACGAGAAAGACTGTCGAGCCCAGATTCCGTCTTCTGAGAGTTTCCGGCCCCGGGTCCGAGCCTGCTGTGTGGATCCTCACAGACGAAGCCGCCTGCCGCCCACAGGCCCGCTGTCCTGAGCTCGGGGTCAGGCACCCGTCCACATTCCAGTCTGTCTTTCCTTTTGGAATGACACGATAGGAGGCTGAGCGGGACCAGCTCACCCTGAGTCCCAGCCCAGCAGAGTCCAGCCCCGACCCGAACCCCCCGCCCCCTCATGGCGCCTGCAGCTCAGCACCTGAGCCCTCTCCTCCCTTGGCCTGGAAACCCCGTGCGAGCAGCCAGCCGAGGGGAAGTGCGCACCACATGTTTCTCGTTTGCTCTGGCCGACCGCCTCCCACAGCCCGTTTGCGTTCCCCAGATGTGCGCACTGTCCTGGAGCCTGAGCCTTCCTGCTCAGGCCCAGGGCCGGCCGAGGGCAGGCGCCGCTTGCTGGCGCTGCGTGGGCAGGCTCCGTTGCAGGATGGGGTGCCGGCTGGCCCCCTCCCGTTCCTGCCCCCACACCCTGGCTGTGGGGACCGGGTCACCTGCAG